AGTGAAGAAATGTTTTGTTTCAAGTACGATCGGAATGGGATTGCCAAAATAGGACTTTAGCACCTTTTAGGGGGGGTAGTTTGAGGGTTCAGTGCTCAAGGGCTACTCCTGGCTCAGTACTCAGGGCCCCCTGCGGTGCCAGGGATCAAACTTAGTACTCTCCTGTAAGGCTGGCGCTCCACCTCACTGGGCGTTAATGCTATTATTGCTTTCTGGGAATGTTGATGGCGTTTCTATGCAGCATGCTGCCTCACCCCGCACAAAAATAACAAAGTGAAACTAAATATGAACCCACTGAAATCTGGGGCCACAGCAAGGCTCTTCATAGTAAGCTTTGCAAGGGCAAAACAACACTGTCCACAGGAGTGCTTTTCTCGGCGCCCTTTGAGACATCAGAGAGGTTCCACCCTCGGCACCGTGGAGCTTAGGGGTGAAGGTGGTTCGTGGCCACATTTCCAGATTGACTCTCCAAGGGGCAGCGTGAAAAACCCATTAGCCAGAATGGGCGGTCAGCGCGGACACCCTGCCCCTTTGCTGTCCTCTGATTGCCTACTTGATCTTTGGTGGATCTTCCTTGTAGTAAAAATACTTTAACTTCAGGAAATGGGGCAGGCCATGCAGGTGGGATCACGGGAAATGAATAATGTGGCACTTCCACCCAACAGAGACTCCAGAAGAGAGGTTTACATGACCAAAAGTGTGCCATCGGAAGCAAGGAGATAGAGACTGGAAAAGTGACAAATGAAGCACCTACCTACAGGTTGCTCAACTGGAACTGCTCCCATCCACAACCCCCAGATTTCATTACAGAAAGAAAAGGGGGTGTGAGGGAGGTTGGGAAACTTCTCTCACAGCTCATCTGAGACCAAAAATTTTAAAAGCTTATAACACTGTTGTTAAAAAATCTGGTTGTTGGGGTGGCTGACCCGGGTTCGATCCCTGGCATTCCGGCTCTCCCAGTTCAATTTTTTTTTCTTTTCTTTTTGGGTCACACCCAGCTCAGGCATTACTCCTGGCTCTGCACTCAGGAATTACCCCTGGCAGTGCAGGGGATCAAACCCAGGTTGGCCTCATGCAAGGCAAATGTCCTCCCCGCTGTACTATCACTCACGCCCCTCCTAACTCATTTTTAAGGGCTCAAACAAAGGTAAACAGAGTGAAAATGTAAGGACTCACCTCATCCTCAGTAGTAAATGAACTAAAGATTTCTAGGAGATAGTGAATTCGAGAGACACTCAGATCACCCAGAAAATAGGAGCATTTTGGGACCCTAGGGAAAAAAAATAGGATAGTCATCGCCCCCCAACCCCTGGGCTTTTTTTTTTTCTTTAAGTCGTACCAATTTTGAGCCTCATCAGAGAATGGACTCTGCTCTCCAGAAGCATTTTCCAAAGGAGGACTCTGAAGGGGCTCTGTAGAGAGGTGGGAGGAAGCCCTGCTCTGTGAAGCATTGCTCAGGCCTGATCTGTGCAAACAAACTAGCCTGGTGTATCTACCCAATGTATAGGATGGAGCTGAACAAGGATACTCTGTAGCCAATTGTTAGGCTGGGTGCTTTGTTCAGTTACTCCGTAGCCAATCAGTAGGCTGGATACTTTGTTCAGTTGTTCCATAGCCAATCAGTAGGCTAGAAATGTTGCTCAGATACTCTGTATCCCACCAGGAACTTGGATACTTTGGTTCCCACCAGGGTGGCAGGCACTTGACCAGAACTAGACCCTCCAGACAATTTTAAGAGATGCTGCGGACCCCTAGGCTTCTCTGTCTGAAGTTGGCCTCCACTGGACAAAACAGCTCCCACTTTGTCCCTCTGGGACACAGGCCTGCCTTGTTAGGAAATCAGGAAAATGTAGGTCCCATAACTGGGTACAGTAACAGGGTGTGGAAGTAGGTCTGGACTCGCAGACGAGTGATAAATATAGACCACACTCTCAATGCCACTGCAGTTAGTCATGGCGGGACAGTGTGAGTTTCATAAACTTATAAGGAATATGCAAACAGTTCCAGATTTAAAATAACTGGGAGTAATTTTTAAGTGTGTGAAAGGATCATTCCCCCCACCCTGTCCATGGGAGCCTCCGTGAGGCGGCAGTGGTGTGAGTGACGGGCACTGTTAATCCTGGGGGCCGCCAGGGGGGAGTTTCCAAAGCAACCCCTGTTCTGCAGGGATTGTTTCTCTTTTGTTTTTCTGCACTCTATAAAATAACAGGGGCCCAGAACCACAGTACAGTGGGTAGGGCACTTGCCATGCATGCACGTGGTTGATCTGAGTTCGATTCCTGGCACTCCAGGTAGTCCCTTGGGCAGTTCCAGGTGTGATTCCTGAGTGCAGAGCGAGGAGGAACACCTGAGCATTTCTGGATGTGGCCCCTCAAAAAAAAAAAAAAAACCCAAACCATGAAGGCAAGGGTATAAGTTGTGAGTTGGGAAGACGCTTAGTGCCCCAGAGTGGTTTGGGGCTGGGGACCACACCAGGCGGTACTCAGGGCTTACACCTGGCTCTGCATTCAGGAATCATTTCAGCTGTGCTTAGTGCCAGGAATCAAACCCAGGTCAGTTGTGTGCAAGGCATGTGCCCCTGCCCACTGTACCAGCTTTCTGGTCCCCTCCAAGTGTTTCTTCTTTTTGTCTGTGATCTAGGTCAGTGGTGTATGTCTTTATTATTGGGACAACAAGAATAGGCTCTCTCTGAATAACATGTCCGAGGCAATAATGCACATTTTTCTCCAGCACTGTTTTCTAGCTCCAAGGGAAAACGTCGGAGAAGATCGTGGGAAACATACTTGAGATCTTGGTTGGTTTTGACTTGATTTCCATTGAATGTGTTGATTTCCACTGAGCGTGATCATTTCCATAGTCCTGGGAGTCTCTTAGGGACATGAGCTGGTGGGGGGTCTCTGATATTTCAAGGCTGCTCTAAGGAAACTTCAGCATGGAAGGGGCTCTGAGGGGGTGATGACCAATGTCCCAACAATTTCCAATGTTCTGGCGTTTTGCAATTCCGCCTGCCCACCCACTTGCTCACATCATTTTTTGGGGGGTGAGACCATTGCTAGAACCTGCCAGCCCATATCTCAGGCCATTGCGTAAAATCTCCATGGACTCATTTTTATTCCACTGTCATGGGTTGCAGCCCCCACTGGGTATTCCCACACACGAAGGCTTTGCAAGACACTCCGTATGGAACCAGTCCAACATGCAGACCGCCTTTCTGGATTGTTCTGTGGGGACTCCACCCAGTGGTGCTTGGGCCTCCTGGCTCTGCACTCGGGGATCGTTCTCCCTGGAAGGGCTCTGGGCACTCTTTGTGGTGCCAGGCGATCCACTGTGGGGTCAGGCACATTCAAGGCAGGTGCCCTACCCACTGAGCTGTCTCTCTGGCCTATAGCCTGCCCTTCTTTTGCAGAGTTTCTACGGGCAACTTTCAGGTGGGCGTTTAGCCCACTTCAGAGATGCAAAAAGAGAGGACCAAGGTCAGTGGAGTTGGTGAGACTCCAAGGAAATAGCTACAAGGGAACACTCTTTCCATGGGGGGGGGTGGGGGGAGGTGGGCAGAAGTCAGACGCTGAACACCCTGGGTTGCCCCGCCAAAAAAAAAAAACTTCAAAAAAATGCGATTGAATCTCCCCAAGAACACGCAAGCACTCACTGAAGGAAGGGGGTAGCCCCTACCTGCCTGACTTCATGGAGTAGATTTTCTCCTGTACCAGAAAGCTCTGGACTCATTTTCAGTACTCACTACAGTAGGTACATGGGGTGTGGAGGGGGGGGAGGATGCTTGGGTGGGCGATGGATTAGTGTTTGTTCCTATCTCCTTAGCCCTGACCCCTCATTCATCACGATCACGATAATCCTGTTGTTCATCGACTGCCTCAAGCAGGCACCAGTAACGTCTCCTTTGTCTTAGTCCTGAGATTCTAAAAAGTGCCACATTCAAGGCTCTTTCAGGGTTAGGAGAATGAGACCCATCATTGTTACTGGTATTTGGCATATTGGGTACACCACGGGGAGTTTGCCAGACTCTGCCGTGTGGGCAGGTTACATTTGGTAGCCTGCCAAGTTGTCCAAAGCAAGAATGAGATAATAAGATGTTGCTGGGTTTTATAGTCTCTGGGTCTTGTCTGTTGATCGGATTACATGGCGGGGGGGGCGGGGGGGGGGAACAGTTGGTAGGTGTGACCCCCACCTACTGGAAGATGGAGGATCTGGGTGGAGGATGCTCAGCCCTGATCCTAGCAGGCTTGGAGATTTCAGCCCCGGGACCCCCATGCCTTTGTTCCTCTGCCGTTACCTTCATGCGTGTGGAGAGTGGTCTCAGCATGGTTGTGGCTGGTTCTGGAGGTCTTGGGCTGCTGGGGTTCTGCTCGGGGTGGGGAGAGAAAGTCAACCCACCCCCCTCCAAGGGGCCCTGGTGAGGACAGCCAGGTGCGGGGGCAGGAGACTCTGTGCTGTTCTCTTTCGGGGGCTGGGTTTTATAGTCTCTGGGTCTTGGCTGTTGATGGGATTACACGGCACGGGGGGGGGGGGGCAGGGAAGGGGGGCGGCAGTTGGTAGGTGTGACCCCCGCCTACTGGAAAATCGAGGATCTCGGTGGAGGATGCTCAGCCCTGATCCGAGCAGGCTTGGGGATCTCAGCCCCAGGACCTGATGCCTTTCCCTGATTCATACCCATAAGAGTTTCACTGCCTAGGTTCTCTTGAGTCCATAATGGGCTGCAAAGTGGAATTGTGGATGATGGTGTCCCAGGGGTGAATTGGTATTTTCCCCCCCTTGGTTCTTTGATGGCCGCACACACCCCTCCCCCGCCCCCACCTCGCATGCCGCCACCTCAGCAGCTGCTGCCTCTCCTGCTCTTCCACGACTCAATGCTCAGCCCTTTGTCCCTACAGCACCCTGAGCTCCTGTGTGCAGGGAGGGTGCTGGTGCCCCCCTGGGCTGTTTTTCCACACTTGGGGAAGTGATACTGGCGAGCTAAAGTCCCTGTCCCCTTGTTCCCACAGCGTGCCCGAGTTCATGTGGGAAGCGGGCTTGCACAGACGATGACCAGTGCTGTCACCCCGAGTGTCTGGGCGGCTGCACCGCACCCGACAACGACACAGCCTGCATTGCCTGCCGCCACTATTACTTCAACGGCCTGTGTGTAACCCAGTGCCCACCCAACACCTACCGCTTCGAGGGATGGCGCTGCGTGGACCGCGACTTCTGTGCCAGTATCCCCAATGCCGATATCACTGAAGTGGACGGCTTCGTCATCCACCAGGGCGAGTGCATGCAGGAGTGCCCCTCTGGCTTCATTCGCAACAGCACCCAGAGGTCAGTGACACCCCCGCCCTCCGACAGGACCCTGTTGAACGACCGTGCTCCCCCCCCCCCCCCCCACACACACATTTCCTGTGCATTTACAACCTCACATTTGCAGTGCTGGAGAGATAGTACAGCAGGGAGGGTGCTCTCCTTGCATGCCACTGACCTGGGTTCAATCCCTGCTTCCCTGATGGTCCCCCGAGCCCCCCAGGAGTGATTCCTGAGCGCAGAGCCAGGAGTCAGCCTTGAGCACCACTGGGTATGGCCCCAATACTTCCTCCACCTAAAAATCCTAGAGGCAGGAGCAGTCTGGGGGCATCAGAGTTCAAGAAGGGGACTTGGTGGAATGGGAACCATGCAAGAGTGTCCCTGGGGATTCATCCCCAATAGCACCCAGAGGCCAGTGACCCTACCTTGCCCCACAGAGTGACCACAGATCGTGTCCCATGATTGGGGAACACAGCAAGGCCCCCCCCGCCCCCCCCCCCCACACACGCACTTCTCCAGCACTGAGAAGAGGCTCTGGTGGGGTCCCTGCATCCCTTGTCTGGGTTTTGGCGCTACACCAACTTCCCGATAGAGGGTCCCTCTTGTTTTTCTTGTGAGCCTGCATTTCCTTTGTCTCTGGTGATGGCGGAGCCAGAATGATCACAGATCAGAAGCACAAGAGACCAAAAGCCCAGAAGAGCAGGAACTTACTGATTGGGCTGGGGGTGCTATGGGGACCAGGCTACATGCTTGGGCCACCTACGGGACGCTGGGATCCAACCTGGGAAAGTCGCAGGCAAAGGAAGTGCCCTCTCCTCTGTCCTGTCTCTCTGACCCCCTCCACTGCTTTTGGTCATGTTCCACTGAGCCTACTCCCATGCAGACAGCACTCCCCCCCACACACACACACATTTGGGTGAGGGGCACCCCCCTCTCTGACCACGAGGTGGGGGTCCTTGCTCTTGCCAACAGCATGTTCTGCGTCCCCTGTGAGGGCCCTTGCCCCAAAGTCTGTGAGGAAGAGAAGAGGACGAAGACCATCGACTCGGTGACTTCTGCCCAGATGCTGCAGGGATGCACCATTTTCAGGGGGAACCTGCTGATTAACATCCGTCGAGGCAGTAAGTTTCCAGCCCCCACGCCCCCAGAGACTGTGGGCCCACCTCCCCTTCCCGCGCGGATCCTGGAATCACCAGCTGTAGGCCCTGCTAGTCTTTAAAATTTGAATTTCTCTAGAAGGTGGCTCTTGTGAAGGGATCAAACCAGAGCGTGATTTTTCCGCCCCTTCCTTATCAACTCAAAGCAGGCTCTAGCCCCTGGGTAATCCCTCATGAGCAGTGCCAGATAACACAGTGGGGAGGACGCTTGCCTGGCCTGCAGCTGACCAAGGTTTGATCACCAGGAGTGATCCCCGAGAACAGGAACCTGGAGTAAGCCCCGTGCACCGCCGGGTGTGGTCCCAAAAGAAAAGAAACAAAAATCCACTCGCTGAACCACACCCAACTCTTTTGATTTGTTTCTTGTTTTTGTTTCTGTGTCACACACAGCAGTGCTCCAGGTTGACTATTGCTCTGTGCTCAGGGATGATTTCCTAGTTGGGCTTGGGGCACCCAGTGAGGTGCTGGGAATCGCAGACCTGGGTCGGGTCCACGTCAGGCAAGTGCCTTCCCCACTGAAACTGCACCCAGTTCATTTGAGTGTCAAGGACTATTTGGGCATATATTGAAGCCAAGTTCCTGCTTTTTCAGTGAACTCGAAACGACTAAATGGGAGAAAAGAAAGGTGCTGCTGTGTATGCACATAGGTGGTATTTCCTTAGGTACCAGTGACTTTTTTCCATGGCTGACTACTTCGGAAACCAAAGATGGGTATTTAAAGGAGACTCGGAAACACAGAAAGGCAGTTTTAAAAATCATCTCCACAGCCAGAAAGATGGTACAGCGTGTAGGGTGCCCGCCTGGCATGTGGCACACCCAGGTTCAATACCAACACTGAGGAGGGTCCTGAGTACCACGGTGTGGCCCCCAAACGAAAGAAATAATGTAAAATAAAAATCACCCCCAGAGCTAGGAAGAAAGATCAAAAGATGGAACATAGACCAGACTCAGTTCCCTATCACCAGCACCACATGGCATTCCCTCGCCGCGCCACCAGGGGGAGCCCTGGTGGTTCCCGGGACATCACCTCCAGGTGGACCAACAGGGCTGGGCCCTGTCCAGCAAACTTCCCCGGCAGACAGCCCCTGTGTTTACGTTCAGTCTTTGTGAGATGCCATCTTGGAAAACAGATCCCTGCCTCTTAGCTACTAGACACGCAGTCACAGCAGCTTGTCCTTGGGTTTCGGAAGCTGGACTGTGAACTGCACATGTTAAAAGACACTCCCCAGGCATCAGAGCCTACCGATGGCTGACTACTTGATGGGACTGTGGGCACGTGGCTGGCATGCGGCCAGCCTGGGTTTGAGACCCGGCACCCTTTAGGGCTCCCCAGAGCACTGCCAGGAGTGATCTCCAATCACAGAGCCAGGAGTCAGCCCTGAGCACTGCCAGGTGTGGCCCCAGAACAAACGAATCCCCCCCACTGACAGCAGAGGGCGCCCTGCTGGTAGTGCTGGGAATTAGGGAACGGAGGGAGCGCTGCAGACCTGAGCGACAGGACAGAGCTTGCTTGGCAACTGGCTGGCCCGGGTTCGGGCCTCGACACTCCATATGGTTCCCCGAACCCGCTGGGAGTGGGCCTTGAATGAGCGGCCCGTCAGTAAATTCTAAACTGACATTCCGTAATCAGCCCGGAGTCTTCAGCCTTCTTTAAGCCCCTCCCCCAATTTGGAGGCCAAGTTTGTTATAATCTGAGCCTCGTTGCCGATGAGGGACCCGGCTGGCTGGGGGCTTGGTGGGTGGTCCTGAGCTGCTCCCTCCCGCTCCCACTGCTCGGGGATCTCAGCTGTCAAACGTGCATCCGTGTGCGTCCCAGAGACACCCCCCTCCCCTCATCCTCCCCGCGCCGCAGGCATGCATGCGCGGTCACTCACCCTTCTGTTTCCGCAGACAATATCGCCTCGGAGCTGGAGAACTTCATGGGGCTCATCGAGGTGGTGACGGGCTATGTGAAGATCCGCCACTCACATGCGCTGGTGTCGCTGTCCTTCCTGAAGAGCCTCCGCCAGATCGGGGGAGAGGAGCAGCTGGAGGGGTGAGTGTGCCCCTTGGTGTCGCGGCTGGCTCTGAGGGTCCCGCGTCCCTGGACTGCGATGACATGGGCCTCATACCAGGCCGACCCCGGCTGGAACCCAGAGGGCAGGGGGGAGCCTGGAGATTCCCAGGTGCCAAGGTGTCCCTCGAGGCCCCCCCAAATCCACCAAAGTCACACCCTGTGGTCTTCCTGGCCGCTCGGACCATCACGTAGGGGCCCTGCCTGAGCACTAGCGCACCCCCCCCAATAAATAAAGCCCTTACCTTGGGGGCTGGAGTGATAGCATGGCACAGCTGACCCAAGTTCATGCCCCGGCACCCAACAGGGTCCCTGAACCCCACCAGGAGTGATCCCTGAACACACAGCTAGGAGTCAGCCCCTGAGCACCACCAAGTGGGGTCCTCAAACTAAATATTAATAATAAGTAAATACAGCTCCTGGGGGCCAGGAGAGAGTTTCGTGGTCAGAGCATGTGGTTCCCGGTACCATCTGGCCCCTATCTGGCATCTCTGGGCGCAGCCGTGAGTCCCCCAGCACTGCAGGTGGGCCCAGCTCCTCCCAGCCGCCGACTGTTGCTCTGAGCGAATGACCTGGTTTGCTTTTAGCTTTTGGGGGTCACACCAGGTAATGCTCAGGTTACTCCTGGCTCTGCACTCTGGAATTACTCCTGGTGGTGCTTGGAGGACCCTACAGGATGCCAGGGATGGAACCTGGGTCAGCTGCGTGTAAGGCAAATGCCCTCTAGGCTGGAGTATCGCTCTGGCCCCAAGAAAAGCTGCTTTCTCTGCCCCAGTGCCTGCAGCCAGCCCCAACGGTCCATCATGTTGATTTTTTTCCCCCCGTGGTGCATTCGAGAGGGTGCTGACTCTTGCTTACTGTATTCGATTTTTGTGTATGTGTATGTGTAGTTTGGGGGCCACACATGGCAATGCTCTGGGCTTACTCCTGGCTCTGCTCTCAGTAATCATTCCTGTCAGTGCTCAGGGATGAAACCCAAATTGGCCTCCTGCACAGCAAGTGCCCTCCCTGCTCTCTTCTCTCTCCAACCCCCTGTGATGGCTGAGTTTTGGTTTCGTTTGTTTCTTTGGGGGCCGCACCTGGCGGTGCTCAGGAATGACTCCTGGCTCTGCACTCAGGAGTCACTCCTGGCAGGGCTCTGGGGCCCCTGTGGGATGCTGGGGATCAAACTGGGTTGACCGTGTGCAAGGCCAGCGCCCTCCCCACTGTACTGTTGCTCCAGCCCCGGCAAGCACTTTTAGCTTTACTTTCCTTGGCTGGTCCCTGCCCACCTGGCCTTCTGGATTGTAAAAACAATCTTCAGCTGTTTCCGTTTACTGTGAAAAAGCTCATCTTGCACCCTGATGAGTCTCATACCAGGCCCTGCCTCTGCCTCTCCTGCACTTGTCCGATTCCTGATTTCTGCTTCCCTCTCCCTGGGTGTGGTTCTCTTCCCTGCCCGTGAAATGATTCTCCAACAACAAACTTGAGCGGGGACTGTTGACCCAGCCAGCCCAGCGCAGGGTCTCAACACCCTCAAGGGGAGGGGGCTCATGGCGGTTCCTGTCTTCCAGGAATTACTCCTTCTACGTGCTGGACAACCAGAACCTGCAGCAGCTGTGGGACTGGGAGCACCGCAACCTGACCATCAAGGCCGGCAAGATGTACTTTGCCTTCAACCCCAAGCTGTGTGTCTCCGAGATTTACCGCATGGAGGAGGTGACAGGCACCAAAGGACGTCAGAGCAAAGGGGACATCAATACCAGGAACAACGGGGAGAGAGCCTCCTGTGAGTGGGTCCCCCTGTGCCCCAAAGAAGTCCCCCTCCCTCCGTGCCCGAGCCGGTCTCATTGCTCTGGGAGCGGAGGAATGAAGCCTGCTGAAAAGCAGGCAGGGCAGGCAGGAAATGGGCAGGCGGGCTGCTGTGATGCCAACACAGTCAAGGATGGGGCGGAGACAGTGCAAGGGCACTGGCCTAGCATGTAGCTAGCTCAACTTGGATCCCTGAGCACAGAGGCAGGAGTCAGCCCTGAGCATAGCTGGGCATAAAAAATAAATAATAAGAATAAGATAATAATAATAATTATGCTGCCAGGAAAAAGCTTGAGGGAAGCTCCAGGTTGCCTCCCAGAGCACCACATGATCTGCTGAGATGGGGGTAGAAAGAAAACCCGGAGGTGCCAGAGAGGTAGCTCAGTGGGTAGGGCTTTTGCCTCGCATGCTGCAAACCCGGGTTCCAGGTCTGGAACTACAGAAGGGTCCCCTGAGCTCTGTAGGAGTGATCCCTGAGCACAGTTGAGTGTGACAGCACCATTCTGCATGGGGGAGCGGGGCTGGGGTGGGGGGACTCGCACACGCAGACGGGAGGGCCAGAGTCGGCCAGCGCTCACGGAGGTGCCCCTGTGTCCCAGGTGAGAGCGACGTCCTGCACTTCACCTCCACCAGCACCTGGAAGAACCGGATCATCATCACATGGCACCGGTACCGCCCTCCAGATTACCGGGACCTCATCAGCTTCACCGTCTACTACAAGGAAGCGTGAGTCGGGGCTGGGGGTTGCTGGGCTGAGCCTCGCCCTCTGCCCCACTGCCAGCCTGGGAACACCCCCCGCCCCCCGTATTGTAGAGAATCATTCAGTCCCCACGGGATGGAGGGATGGCACAGCTGTTAGGGAGCTAGGGAGGGCTGGAGAGATAGGACGGATGGCGGGAAGGGCGCTGGCCTTCCACACAGCTGATGCTGGTTCGATCCCCAGTGCTTCATGGTCTTCTGAGCCATGAGCGCAGAGCCCTGAGCAGCCCCAGAGCCTTGCTGGGCATGGCCTAGAGTAACCCCCTAAAATAATAATAATAACAATAATAATAATAATAATATAATAAGGCCCAGGAGAGAGCTTGAGGGAAGCCCCACATTGCCCTCCAGTGTGTTACGTGATCTGCTAAACTAGGGCTACAAAGGAAGCCTTAGGGGGCCGAAGAGCTAGCTCAGTGGGTAGGGCGTTTGCCTTGCATGCTGTAGACCCAGATTCTGAAGAAGCTGATGCCATCTGATGTGGCCTTCTTGCTCCCCCAAGGGGTGCTGGGCTGGGACGTGGAGCAGGGTGGCCCCAAGCTCTGACGTCCGAGTGTACTGACCCCCTTGCGCTGACCACACAGGCCCTTCAAGAATGTGACTGAGTACGATGGACAGGACGCCTGTGGCTCCAACAGCTGGAACATGGTGGATGTGGACCTGCCGTCCAACAAGGATGTGCAGCCGGGGATCTTGCTCCATGGCCTGAAGCCCTGGACGCAGTACGCTGTGTACGTCAAGGCCGTGACCCTCACCATGGTGGAGAACGACCACATCCGGGGCGCCAAGAGCGAGATCCTGTACATCCGCACCAACGCCTCAGGTGGGTCCCGCGGCTGGCACTGGCCGTCAGCCTTCTGGCTCTTCCTGGTCAACAGAAAGCTGGGCCGCACTTTGTCCTGACACCCAGGGCTTCTCCTGCTCCCCTCCATGGCTTGACCCCCCCCTTTTTTTTAACTTACTTTTCAATAAATGTTATTGAAGCACCGGTGAGATACACAGTTACAAAGTTGTTCTTGGTTGGGTTTCAGTCATACAATGTTTCAACACCCATCCCTTCACTAGTGCAACAGTGCATATTTCCCACCACCACTGTCCCCAGTTTCCCCCCTCCTCCCCAACCTTCCCCCCTCTCTCCCTGCTTCTCTCTCTCCCTCTCTCTCTCACTCCCCCCCCTTTCTCTTTCTCTCTCACTATTTCTCTCTTTATCACTCTGTCTTTTCTCTTTTTCACTCTCTCGTGCTCACTCTCTTTCCTTTTGGGCATTATGGTTTTCAGTACAGGTACTGAAAAGTTTTCATACTTGATCCCGATTTTCTGCTTCTCAGTGCTCAGAGGCCCTGAGCCCCCGTGGCCTATGGCACCATGACGGGTTTCCTGATGGCCCAGCTAGGGCTCAGCTAGCTCTGGTTCATTTCCATCAACTTTCCAAGCTTCCGCGTTGGAAAATGACTCTGGTGGATGTCAGTTACCTGCTCACGGCTTCCTTCTGCAGCCAAGAGGGTTCCAAGGAGAGAGACAGAAGTTGGGGGACCAGTGTATGTGGCTGAGCTCAAGAAAGTATTCCTTGATGAGATTGTAGAGTGGGCCTTGCACGGGGTTAGCCCGAGGTCCATCCCTGGCACCCCAGAGGTTTCCCAAGCCCGCCAGGAGTGATCCCTGAGCACCTCTGGGCGTGGCCCCAAACAAAAAAGAAAAAAGATAGTTACTCATTCTCAAGTTTGGAAGCAGGTTGTGGTCACTGGTTTGGGGAGAAAGGGGCTCATCCCTGACTCTAGCGGGTCAGAACGAGGGCTGGACTCAGGGTACCGTGGCTGTCAGTCACTGCTTGCCCTGGACACCTACATTTTATTGCTGGCAACAGAGGCTGGAGAAGCAGGTTTGGTTGCTCTCAGGCTCCAGCCCGGTGACCCAGAGTAATATTGGACCCAGTAAGTTGCTGGCCCTTGATCTTGCTCTTTCCCTTTTTTCCCACCTTTTTTCTGCCCTTCCCTCCCCTGTGCATCCCTCTGCCCCCTCACTCTTGCATCGGGGTTTCTCACCATTTTTCACAGCAATTCCAGATGTCCGCTGAAATTGCAGTGAATCTGTCTTGTCATGTGGCAGAAACTGCCGACGCCACTTGTTTCCAAGGATGTCCACTGTCATCCATGACAAGGAGCCACCTAGAGGGTGGCTGGAATGCCTCATGCTCCTCCCCACACCACAGGTTCACCTCCAGAGTGAACCCCCAGTTGGGTGTGGCCCCAACCCGAAACCTTCCCTACTATGGCTTGGTAGCACTGGGGCTACATCCTGCCACAGGTGGGGACGTTGGTGCTTAAATACGGATCATGAAACAAAAAGTAAATTCAAAAGGTGCTGGATGATAGCACAACGGCTGGGACATTTGCATGTCATGTGGCCGACCCGGGTTCGATCCCCGGCACCCCATAGGGTCCCCAGAGCTCCTCCAGGAGTGAGCCGGGAGCACCGCCCGGTGTGGTTGCAATACAAACATCAGGTAAATAAAATCAATGGGCAGTGTGTCGGGGCTCTGCATGCCCCCAGGGCAGATCCTGAGGAGTCGGTGAGAGAAAATGATGTTGAACCCACACATATCCCTGAAACTCGCAAAGTGGCTCCCGGCGCTTCCGTCCTCCCTCTCGTTGCTGAAATGCCTTTGCTCCCTCTGCAGTGCCCTCCATCCCCCTGGACATCCTGTCGGCTTCCAACTCCTCGTCACAGCTCATCGTCAAGTGGAACCCGCCCTCCCTGCCCAATGGCAACCTGAGCTACTACATCGTGCGGTGGCAGCGCCAGCCCCAGGACAGCTACCTGGCCCGGCACAACTACTGCTCCAAAGGTGAAGCTCAGGACGGGGCAGCCGCCCGCCAGCTACAGCGACTTGGCCCCTCGCGGGGGGCCAGCACCCCTTGGTCAGGCACGAGCTCTCCCCAGCCCCAGCGCCCTCTGCCGAGCACCACCTTCGCCTTTACCCTGAGCCCCCTTTCTCTCCCATCTCCGGTTTCTTTGCCCCCGGGGATGTGTAAGTCGCCTTCGTTTTCCCCTCGCAGGCCGGGCGGACAAGATCCCCATCCGGAAATATGCCGACGGCACCATCGACATCGAGGAGGTGACGGAGAACCCCAAGACCGAGGTGTGCGCTACTGAGAAGGGACCGTGCTGTGCCTGCCCCAAGACGGAGGCCGAGAAGCAGGCGGAGAAGGAGGAGGCCGAGTACCGCAAAGTCTTCGAGAACTTCCTGCACAACTCCATCTTCGTGCCCAGGTGCCCGTGTCCTGGCCCCGGGAGGGATCCAGGCTGCCCTTTCCTCTGTGCACGGGGAGTTGGTGGGGGCCCTTAGCGGTGGGCATCACTCCAGTTGGGTTCCAGGTCCCCCTGTTAGGTGGGGGTGGGGGCCAGTTCTCTGGGCCCCTGCGTCCCCATTTGGGTACATGTACTATGCAGAGGATGCGGTTTATCTACATTGGCTGGAAGGTTCTGGAACTCTCTTGCAAGGCGCTTGTGCTGGGTCGGGGGTGGATGCTGGCGACCTCTGGGGTGCAGCCTGCAGTGTCGGGGCATTTTAGATGCTGTTGCCTCTCGGTTGCACCCCTGAAGAGGGTGGGGGAGGCGCCTTGGACAACAGGGTAGGTCGGAGACTCGGATAGTTGTCGTCTCTGGCCCGGATCGAGCACCTGGTAACTGGGGTATTCACATGTGACATCCCTCACCCCTGCTCATCGACATCTCCAGGCCCCCATGTACCCTGGGCCACCTTGGAGAAGAGCAGTCAGCCTTGGGGTGTGGACAGACCCCAGACCCTGGCTCATGTTTAATGACTTGCTCAATCTAGGGGGGAGGGGAACCTTCACTTGGTGCTCCAGAATCCAATAATGCTCAGCCTGGCCTCACAGCCCTGCCTGGTGCCTGCTTAGAGTCCACTGGTGACCACCAGGGCGGCGCCCAGTGGGGGCCTGAGAGTCTCAGGCGGGAGGGTCATGTGCCAGAAATGGGCCCTGAGTCACAGGGTCCCAGCCCTTGCTGCCGTGTTGCCAGCCTTGGGCTTATTTCTGGATTTTGTGTTTTGTCCTTCGGCCTCCTGTCGCTCGGTACTGGCTCGTGGTCTGCTGGGCCATGGCCTTGGCCCCAGATAGACTCTTTGCTGCCAGGGCACTAGCCCAAAGCTGAGCCAGTCCCACATAATGTGCTCACGCATGTAATTGTGCCCTGATGGGTAGGTGGCGGGACTGGAAGTGGAGCCTCCACATGCCAGTTGTGCCATCACAGTCCCGCCTCAACCTCATCCTGGGTTTTTGGTTTGTTTTTTTTTTTTAATGTTTGGGTCACACCCGGCTGTGCTCAGGGATCACTCTTGGCGGGGCTCAGGGAACCATCTGGGGGTTGAGCATCAAACCTGGGTCGGCCGCATTCAGGGCAGATGCCCTCTCCACTGTACTGTCCCTCTACTGCTCCTGACGCTGTCCTCACAAATTATTCCTAATGGGCACAGTGGACTGTAGTGGGTGCTGGGGCCTGAACCAGGTCTGCTGTCTCCAAGGTCAGTGCCCAGCCTGCTGTCTGTAATAGCTTGGCCCCCAGACTCATTCTTCGTGGACCCTGAGGGTGACCACCCCCAGCCTGCCTTTCACTGTTGCTGGTGTGACCTGAGTATTGGGGGTCACTGAGTGACCTCCCTGGCATTGGGGATTATTGAGTGACCTCATGAGCACTGGGGTTCATAGAGTGACCTCCCGAGCACTCGGGTCAGTGAGTACCTCTGTGGCCTCTCTAGGGACTGGTGAGGCTGACCCCATCAGGGGGAAGTTGTTTGGGGCTCGATTCTGAGGCTGCAGAGTGGAGAGAGCAAAGTTGATCATGAAGGAGACCCCCCCCCCGGTTTTGCCGCTTGTCACCCCCACGGGCCACCCCAGGCCTTCCCCGGTCTGTGATGGCCACCCCTAGCCAGCTTGCTCTTGCTTGCAGACCCGAGAGGAAGCGGAGAGATGTGTCTTCGGGCACCAACGTCACCCTGCCCCTCCGAGCCCGGAACAGCTCGGCCGACGGCTACATCATCTCAGATGAGGACGACGACGCGGAATTCCCATTCTACGAGAGCCGGGTGGATAACAAGGAGCGCACGGTCATCTCGAACCTGCGGCCCTTCACGCTCTACCGCATCGACATCCACAGCTGCAACCACGAGGCCGAGAAGCTGGGCTGCAGCGCCTCCAACTTCGTCTTTGCCAGGACCATGCCTGCAGGTAGGGCATGATCCAGCTGCCTCCTTCACCCTCCTGCCACCCCACGCAGCAGCAGGTCCTGCTCTGGGCACAGAGACCACGCAACCCAATAGCTCGCCATCCCCCTTCCTACGGAGTGGGAGGGCGGGCAGAGGCAGCCCAGAGGACCAGCACCCCCACCCAGCGGCCATTCTCAGGCCTGGGGCAGGGTGGGCAGTTGTGATGGGACAGTTCACCTCGATCCAGGGAGACCAGGTCTCCCCTTCATGGCTGCCTCCGGCAGGGGCCACAGGGGTGGGCTTCTCCTGCTTTCCCAGTGAGAGCTGCCTGTGGCCCAGAAAGGCATGTCTCTGTCTTGGGAGGGTGCAGGAGCCCCCGGCAGACAGCAGCAGGTCATGCTGAGAATGCAGAGGGGACCCGAGTCTGAGGGGGCTCCTGGACCCCAGGGGAGAACCCCAGCAGCACCCTGACCCCAGTGTGAAGGTCCCCACACCCCAGGTCCCTGCAGATGACTCTGAGCCCGCCCCCCACTGTCCCATGCACTGACGAGTGCTGCCAACCACCTGCATGTCTCTTCTCCTCCTGGGAAGCAGGAGAAGACACCCCAGCCCTTGTCAGAGACGGGGTGTGGGGGTCCCTTAGCAGCTGCCTCCGGCTTGTCTGTGCAGACCCCACGCTTACAATGTACAAATGCAGGGCACAGAGGAAACTAGCAAGGCTGGGAATCCTCGCCCCGCGCCCCCCCACTCCCTGTTTCCCTCTGCTCTCCTCCTCCCACCCCCCGGGGCTTGGGGTCCCAGGTGTTACCTGCTCTGTTCCTCAGACCACAAGAGCAGACCAAAATAAGGCCCTTGGCTTGCTGAGATGTCCCTGCTTTCTCGTTTTTGTGCGGTATTTTTGGAGGGAGTGGGAAGGGGAGCGCGATTTGGTGCTCAGGGCTGACTCTGCTCAGGGCTCACTCCTGGCTCTGTGCTCGGGGCTCACTCTTGCCTCTGTGCTCAGGGCTGACTCCTGGCTCTGTGCTCGGGTCTCACTCCTGGCTCTGTGCTCAGGGATTTGGTGGGGTTCAGGGATGTTGAAGGGTGCTGGAGATGGGCCCTGGAGTTCGACTGTGAGCAGGGCTAGTACCTGACCCCACCGACACTTCCCTTCTATGTGGCAGTGGCCAGGCGGGCAGAGGGACTCTATGGAAAGTGGAGCAGTTTGTCAGGGCTCTGCATCCTGCATACTCAGAGTAGGCTCTTTGTGTGTGGGGGGCGGGGGGAGTGGGGCTCAGGCTCCAAAAGGTGACTCACCCCATGACCTGTCTCTGTCGTGTGCAGAAGGAGCAGATGACATCCCTGGCCATGTGACCTGGGAGCCGAGGCCCGAGAACTCCGTCTTCCTAAAGTGGAACGAACCCGAGAACCCCAATGGCTTGATCCTGATGTATGAGATCAAGTATGGATCCCAGACAGAGGTGAGACCAGAACCGGGAGTTGAGGGTGGGCGTGGGGGGTTCTCAGACAAGAGATGAGGCTGTGGGTGTGGGGGTTGAAAACTGGGATGGGGTGGGGACTGGGGGGCACTGGGGCCTCTCCCTAAGAGTGTTCAGGGAACTCACCCTCCCCCTGTCAAAGGGGCCTGGAGTGTAGCTCAGCAGTGTAGCGCCTGTGTGTGTCTGGCAGCCCAGGCTTCTGTCCCCTGCAGAAGGAGAGAAAAGGGAAGGATGGTGGAGAGAGGCCAGGGAGAAGGAAAGAAAGCAGACAGCCCCTAGCATCGCGGGTCTGAATTGTGTGGGTCCACTTGAGAGAAGCCAGTGTGCCTCCTTGGGGTAGGGCTCTAACTGCTACTCAGCCCTGCAGTGTGGTCCAAGCCTCACAGTCCTCGGGCCCAAGGGGCCAGTGCGGGGCCAGACTCAGGACCTCGGGCCTACAAAGTCTGCACCAACACCTCTTCCGCCACGGGCTGGGGTGTTCAGATCCTCAGATGCGACCCTGGAGAGGCTCGGGGCTCCACTCTGTCTCTGCGGCCAACCCTCCAGGTTAGAGCAGAGGTTGCCAGAATGGCGTTCCTACCCAGCTCCTCCGGCTGCCACAGTCTTGATTAGAACCCAGATGAGCCAAGGGTTCCAAGCACTGCTGCTAGGCCCCTGGGAAACGGATGGGAAATGGACAGGAAGTTGATGATGGGAAATGGACGGGCCTCGGGAAGTTGATGGGAAACCGATGGGCTACAGGATGTTGATGGGAAATCGATGGGCTACAGTATATTGATGGGAAATCTATGTGCCGCAGGAAATTGATGGGAAATTGACGGCACGTGTCTCCTCCCAGGACCAGCGGGAGTGCGTGTCCCGTCAGGAGTACAGGAAGTATGGAGGGGCCAAGCTCAGCCGCCTGAACCCTGGGAACTACACAGCTCGCATCCAGGCCACCTCCCTCTCCGGGAATGGGTCGTGGACTGAGCCTGTGTTCTTTTACGTCCCAACCAAAAGTAAGGCTCCAGTGCAGATGCTGCTGACGGGAGAGGGCGTGTGTGTGTGTGTGTGTGTGTGTGTGTGTGTGTGTGTGTGTGTGTGTGTGTGTGTGTGTGTGTGTGTGTGTGAGGGTGGGAGGTGCTCGGGTTTCCCCAGCCAAGTTTCAGGGCCAGGCCTTCCCCACCAAGAGATTCCCACTCTCCACCCATTACCAGAGTTCTTTTGTTTTTGTTTTTGTTTTGTTTTTGAGGCCTCAGCTGGGTGACCAGAACCAGGTCTCCTCCTCCAGGCAGTCCCCCAGCACATCTTCTGGGTGCATGAGTCTGAGTCCCTGGAAGGACTGGCTCCTTTCGTTTTTTGCTTTGTTGGGTGACACCCAGCAATACTCAGGAGTTACTCCTGGCTCTGCACTCAGGAATTACTCCTGGTGGTGCTCAGGGGACCATATGGGATGCCGGGGATCGAACCCAGGTCGGCCGCATACAAGGCAAGCGCCCTACCTACTGTACTATCACTCTGGCTCCCAACAAGCTCCTTTCTTTTGTGATCTTGTTTGGTTTGGCTTGGGGGCCACACCCAGCAGTGCTCAGGACTTCCTCCTGGCTCTGTGCTCAGGGTTCACTCCAGGCAGGGTTCAGGGAACTCTGTGTTGCTGGGGACCAAACCAGGGTAAGGTACGTGCAAGGCAAACACTGAACCCAGGTCTTATCTCTCCAGCCCCTTCTGGGCCAGTTTGCTTTCCATCACTGTGCTTCAGGTTTATCTTAGGCTTCATTAGGTGGGAGGCTGGAATGTCTCAAGAGGGCAGTAAAGAATTTCTGGGCTCTTTCCCGCCTTTCCTTCACTTCTGTTGCTGAGGTGTCTGGGAAGGTCCCCATGTGACAGTGCTCCTGGGATCACAGGTGCGGGCCGTGCTTGGCAGTATATGGGCATGGGCTGCAGGCTGGATGAGCCACCTCGGCCTGGCCCTCGTATTTGTCCATTTGGCTGTCAAGCGGCCAGATGGTTCCCCTTGTAACCGGGCGTCCCCGGACTGTGTCTGCAGAGACCTACGAGAGTTTCTTCCAGCTGATCGTTGCGCTGCCCGTGGCCGTCCTGCTCATCGTTGGGGGCCTGGTGATCATGCTGTATGTCTTCCACAGGAAGCGGTGAGTGGTCCCTGCCCCTGTAGGGCACAGACACCTCCTGGCTTATGTGGGCCTGTGAGCCCAAGTGCGGGTCATCGTCCTGAGAAGTGACCTTTGTTGCGCGGGGACTCTGGAGAGTCTAGGACAGATTTGCATACAAAGCTCAGCAGATTGAAAGTTTATAATACAGATAGAATAGGTGGGTCCAGGTCTCTCCCCAGATGTCCAGGTCTCTCCTTGACCTGGTCTATGAATGATCTCTGTGGCTCATCCCACGTGGTCTGCTCTTATCCCATGAACACCAGCCAGGCCCTGTCCTGGCGTGGCTCTCTCTGTCCTGGGCACACTTTCCCTGGTCTCTAGTCATGATCACATACCCCTGAGCGAGAGCCCTGTGCTCTGTACCTGTCACCGGGCCCCAGCTATACCCCGGCAGTTCCTGTCATCCTGTCCCAGCCACAGCCATGTGTGCTCGGGTGAGACTCCTGTGCTCAGCACCTTGTCCCTGCCCAGATGTCTGAGCTCTGCCTGTAGCTGTCCCCCATCTGGGCCTATGCGTCCTGCTGGTACTGGGCCATCTGCCCAGGTGTGTAGCCCTACCTGATCCAGAGGGGTTTGGGAAGAGAGGAGAGAGTGAGTGCTCAGAGAGAGATTGGGGGGGGGGTGTGGAAGAGGGGGCAGGGGGAGAGAGACTGAGGTATTGAGAGACTTTGTATCCCAGAGGCTTGACCCCAGACCCAGTGCCAAAGCTGAGAGTGGCTGCAGAGCACAGCTGGATGTGGCCCCCCAGATAAAACGGGGTCCAGTCTGCATCCCTGGAAACACCACAGTGGTGGGGTTAACCTGTGCCAGTCCTCTTGGGAGGAGCCTGGATAGGGTGCAGAAGTGCCGTGGGCTTTTCCTCTTTAACCCAGAATCCCCTCTTCCCTTTTCTCCCCCCCCCCCCCCTTTACTGACCGCAGCCGCCTGGGCAATGGGGTCTTGTACGCCTCCGTGAATCCTGAGTACTTCAGTGCCGCTGATGGTAAGTCTGAGTGGGGAGTGGAGACGCTGGGGGCACCCGGGGCCCTTTTATTAGCACTTCCTGTTTTCTGAGGGTCTGAACCAGGCTGTTGGTCTGTTGGACACTCCTCCCCACATTCCCAGATGGGAGGGGTTGTGTGTGCAGAGAGTACAGCCGGTAAGTCTCCCAAACCCGCCAAGAGTGATTTCTGAATACAGAGCCAGGAGTAAGCCCTGAACACTGCTAGGTGGGGCCCCCAAATGAACAAGATATTGGGCACACAGATAGGACAGGGTTTATGGCACTTGCTGTGCAAGCAGCTCACCTGGATTGCAGCCCAGCACCCCATAGGGTCCCCCAGCACCCCTAGGAGTAAACCCAAGTACAGAACTGAGTACAGTCCCTTCTCCTGCAACTCCCATCCTGGCCTGGGTCACCCCAGTTCTGTTATCATTTTGTTTTCTCGGACCACTGTCTGTTCCCTTTCTTCAGTTCTTGAAACCCCACACAAGAGAACATCCAGCATTGATTCGTCCTCCTCCCTCTGACTTCTGTGCCTTTAGCAGGACCTCCTCTGGCAGGCTTCAGTCCAGATTGTAACAGAAGGCACCAGTTCTTAATGCCTTTTACAACTTGGTTATGGAAAAGTTCCTAGTTTGATAACTAAAAGGGGACCTTGGGGCATGCATGCAAGCAGTTGCTCTGCCACTGAGCTTCATACTGACTCACGTCTTTTTTTCTTGGGGTGGGGAGGGGTTGGGGCCACACCTGGAGATGCTCAGGGGTTATGCCTGGCTCTGCACTCAAGAATCATTCCTGAGAGTGCTCGGGAGACCATCTGGGGTGTTAATGATCGAACCTGGATTGGTGGTGTGCAAGGCAAATGCCCTCCCCGCTGTGCTCTCTCCAGCCCCTTCTGCATTTATTTCGAGGGGCTGAGGGTGGGGCCGCACACTTCAGATCTCAGGAGACCAAAGTACTAGGGAATGGAACTTGAAGGGGGGGTGTGGTAGTTGCATGTAAGGCAGGCACCTTAACCCCTGTCTTAGCTCTCCAGCCCCCTGTGACATCTATTTTTTTTTCTTTTTTTTGGGTCACACCCGGTGATTCACAAGGGTTACTCCTGGCTCATGCACTCAGGAATTACTCCTGGCGGTGTTCGGGGGACCATATGGGATGCTGGGAATCGAACCCAGGTTGGCCGTGTGCAAGGCAAACGCCCTACCCGCTGTGCTATCGCTCCAGCCCCTCTATTTTTTAATAGATAGAAACACCCAGCTGTGCCTCTAGGAATATTTGGATAGAATAAGGCATTGGATAAATACCAACTTTAGAGGTGATGGAGAAGAAGATCTTTGACTTTGTAATTATTATTTTATTTGTAACTATTATTTTGGTCTGGGGCCCCAACATTTTTGCTTATGGGGTGCCAGAGATTGAACCGGGGTTAGCTGTGTGCAAGTCCAATGCCTTCCCCGCTGTCTGATTGCTTCTGCCCAGATCTCTGACTTTAAAACAAAACCAAACGATAATAAATGCAGCAAGAAGGTTATTTGCATGGTGGTTGTATAAGGAAAGAGGCTGAAGTCAAGAAAGAAATCAAGGAATGTGTAAACACTCAAGAAATAAAAAGGCCGGCATTCAGGCCGCTTCCCCACTCCAGGGAGGTCGATGGCGATGGTCAGGCGAAGGAAGGAAACGAGGCCAAGCTGGTTGGTCTTAGTAGCCGTTTATTACATGGAAGAGATGTATGTCATGGAGGCCTCAGGAATTCCCGATCACGTGCGCCTTTGTTCTCTCAGCTTCTGTCCTCAGCCCCATCTTCCCAGGTTCTCTGGTGCACGTGTCCCCCCTGAGAGTCCTGAAATCTCCCTTATATAGATCATAGCACCTCTAAAGGGCGCAATATAATGATGTCATCAAAAGGAGTTACAGAAAGAACACTGAGGCAGCAAACATACATTGTTTCCTTACATCCCAGGCCAGTAATCCTGGCCTCACCTTTTCACAAGCTACAAGCACTTAGATTAGCACAACAAAGACCAGTCTGCTAGAACTTGGAATCTACATCTCCAAAAAAGCAGTCTCATTCAAGCTAGTCAGGACACACAGGAAACTGCTTCTAGGACGTGTTTCTCCTCTCCTTGTCCAACCAACATATAAGCATACATAATATTAATTATTTCGTATGGACACAGTAAGAAATACTTTGAGCTTATAGAATTGCTCTCCTAGGGCCATCTCGATCTCAGACTTCAGTGCTCAGGCCAGATATCTTTCTTATTCCTAGCAGCAGGGCCCTAGTCTTGTCGTTACTTTTGGATCATGACATCATTTGCCTATGATCAAACTCTTAACTTATAGTTAAGAATCGTGGCACCTTGGCCTGGCCCATCGCGATGCCAGGGTAGCACATAACTTACCAGCTTGCCCTGGTTCCATCCAGTCCCACGTCGGGACCCTGCCCTTGGGGTGCTAGGAAGTGAGGGCAACTGAGGCTTAAGTTGAGAAGGCAGATGCCCGGGAGTGAATAATATTCAAAGCCAATCAATTCCTAAGTTACGGAGCGTATTAATTAATTGTCTTCCTGTATCTATACAAAAGGACATTGCATTAAAGTAAACTGCTCAAAAGACATAAGGAGAGGAGAAAGACAATATTAACTTACAGTACAGCTTCAGTGTCTAAGAAGGATGAGACCTTACAAATTGGTTGGGGAAGAGAGCATAGAAGCGGTCACAGACAGACAAAGTAATGGGAGTGACTCGGGAGCACTGTGATGGGTACAATCTGATAAACCCAAGCTCCGTGTACTCCAACAAAGGAAGGTGGCATCACATGTATCCTGGAGTCCCTGGGGAAAGCGTCAGGCCTGTCCCCCATGCATTCAGGAGCAGAGAGCCCACTGTGTGCTGCATCCTGGCACAATTTGATCTGACATGTTCAGCTGCGACACTTCCTTCTTTCCTTCCTTCCTTCCTTCCTTCCTTCCTTCCTTCCTTCCTTCCTCCCTCCCTCCCTCCTTCCCTCTCTCCTTCCCTCCCTCCCTCCCTCCCACACTTCCTTCCTTCCTTACCTTCTTCCCTTCCTCCCTCCCTTCCTCCTTTTCTTCCTTACTTCCTTCCACCCTCCTTCACTCCCTCACTCTCTCCCTCCAGTCTACCTTGGGTTCTTTGCTTCTTTCATTTCTTTTTTTTTCCTTCTTTCTTTCTCTCTGGCCTGTCTTAGGGTTTTTTTTGCTTCTTTCCTTTTTCTCTTTCTCCTTTTCTTTTCTTTCTCTTCATGATTTACAGAGCTGTGTGTACTTGAGTTTCTGGCATACGATGTTCCAACACAAACCCCTCCACTCCCACCAGTGTCAGCTCCCCTGCACCAGTGTCCCAGGTTCCTTCAGCCCTCCCCACTGCCCCAGCCTGCCTCCTTAACAGGCACATTTTTAAGTTTGGTTGTTGTAGTTTGGGTCTCGTGTTGTATTGTTGGTGCCGTGGCTTGAACATAGCACTCTACACTGCCCATGTACCCGGGGCCCCTGCCCCCTGCCCACCTTGTTAATGCCTGCCCACTCCTCAACTTCTTTCCATCACTGTCCTTCTCCTTCTGGGCTCTGCGCTGTCAGCACTGGAGATGCTCTTAGTATCTTCAGAGAACCTTGGGGTCCCATCCCCGCTACCCCAGAGCATTGCTGGGAGTGAGCCCTGAGCACTCAGCCAGGAGTATTCCCTAAGCATAGAGCCGGGATTAGTCCCTGCACGCCACTGGACAGGACCCAGAAACAAAGGTTATCTGGGTATCCTGGGGGGTTGGATGTGTTGGTGTTGGGCCCCCTGCTGGACCCCCTCACACCCGTCTCAGGGCCCAGGGGTCCTTCACCCCTGATGCCAGCCTTGAGTGGTCTGGACCGGCCGTGCCCTTGCCCCTGAGTGGCTGGCTCATCTACCACCCTCTCTGCAGTGTACGTGCCCGATGAGTGGGAGGTGGCCCGGGAGAAGATCACCATGAACCGTGAGCTGGGCCAGGGCTCCTTCGGGATGGTCTACGAGGGCGTGGCCAAGGGCGTGGTGAAGGACGAGGCAGAGACCCGGGTGGCCATCAAGACCGTGAATGAGGCGGCCAGCATGCGGGAGAGGATCGAGTTTCTCAACGAGGCCTCGGTGATGAAGGAGTTCAACTGCCATCACGTGGTAAGAGGCCAGATCCCAGCCCAGAGTCCCGCAAGTCAGGGGCCAGGCGTGAGTGGCCGCAGCTGTGGCTTTGAGATCTCCCCACCCCTACACATCTCCCTGTAGATTCTGGGTATGGCACAGGGTCCAGGTTCATCCCCTGGCCATGAGGCCTTGTACCCCCTTCATAGTCCATGTGTGTATTAGGGACAGCCCTTGGTGGCCTCCCCTCTAAGTCTGACTCTCTCATGAATTTCCTCCCAGGTGCGACTGCTGGGCGTGGTGTCCCAGGGCCAGCCCACACTGGTCATCATGGAGCTGATGACCCGCGGGGACCTCAAAAGCTACCTCCGCTCTCTGAGACCGGAAATGGAGGTCAGTGAGTGTAGCCGGTGGCCAGCACCTGCTCCCACCCCTCCTCTCCTTCCTCCTCCTCCTCCTCTCTCTCCTCTTCTTCCTCCTCCCTCCCTGTTTTCTCCTCTGCTGGGCATCAGGTCCTTTTGGGGTGCCCAGAGAGGGATGGGAACACACTTGTAGAGTAAGTTGAAGAAGAAAAGAATCTATTATTTTTCTTTCCATTTTGGTTTGGGGGCGCCAGGGGCCACTCCTGGGGAGAGTCAATCCAGCCTCAGCCATGTGCAAGGCAAGCATCCCCCACCCTCTGCTGCTCAGCCTTTGGTGGGGGTTGGAGACCTCCCAAATATGCTCAGAGGGCTAGGGGAACTCTTTCTGGTGAATCCCGAGCAGCTGGGCCAGAGATGGGTCTGGACCCAAAGATGTGCTGTGCAGGCCTTGCAGAGCCAGAGTGACCAGAGCCACCCCACGGCAATGCTGGCGCTGGTGACCGTCAGGAATATATGGTGCCCGGGATCAGATCAGGGCTGGCTGCGTAGAAGGCCTTCCCCATTGTACTGTCTTCCCCCCTGCCCAGGAGCTTGGGGCCAAGCAAGAGGAACCAGAAGCCCCAGAGGGAATCCTGAAGGATTCCTCAAGGCTCCCGGGAATAACTTACCCCTCTTTTCCCACCCTCCCACAGAATAACCCCGTGCTGGCGCCCCCTAGCCTGAGCAAGATGATCCAGATGGCCGGTGAGATCGCTGATGGCATGGCATACCTCAATGCCAACAAGTTTGTCCACCGTGACCTGGCTGCCCGCAACTGCATGGTGGCTGAAGATTTCACTGTCAAAATCGGAGGTGGGTGCCCTAGTTTTTCCCTGCTTCACTAGGGCGCTTGAGAAGTTTCCAGCAAGCCTGAGGGAGGCGGGGCTCAGGTGACACACACACTTCACACTCACAAGCTGGCTGCAGGGGTGACAAACCCAGCCCAGGGAGTGGGCTCTACTCCAGAGAGCCTGGTGGGGCTGGAAGCGATCCAGGCCTGGCCAGATTGGAGACAGCATGGATCACGTGCCACGTATGAGCCTTTCCTGCCTTGCAAGGAATAGGTGCAGAGAGCGGTTTTCTTTCCTTCTTGGTTTTGGGGGCCACATCTGGTAGTGGGGGACGGGACCTGCATGCAGTGTGGGTGCTCCAGCTCCGAGCAGTCTCACTGCCCGCCCCCCTTCCTGTTCTCTGAGTTCTTTGGACTCAGTGATGGGTTGGCGGTGTCATTTCAAATGCCAGGAGGAAATCAAAGAACCAGACTTTGCCTTCTCTGGCCCCTCAATTTTGGGGTCTTTGCAAAGCGGAGTCCAGGAGGCCATCTCGGAGTAGGGTGCCCTGGAATCCCGGCAAGCCCTCTGTGGGCTGTGCTGCTTCTGGGAGCAGCCTGACGCGGACCTTCTTGTCCCTGGCAGATTTCGGAATGACCAGAGACATCTATGAGACTGACTATTACCGCAAAGGAGGGAAGGGGCTGCTGCCGGTGCGCTGGATGTCCCCCGAGTCACTCAAGGATGGCGTTTTCACCACTCACTCTGATGTCTGGTACAGACACATTCCCCCTTCCCTCTCCACACCCCCAGCCCTGCCCCACCCCAGGCAGCTCCATCCACTGGGTGCCCCTCCCTCCTAGGCCCCGCCCCACCCGACGTCCTACAAGGCTCCGCCCAGCCCTCCCCACCTCTAAGGCCCCGCCCACACAAGCACTGCCCTCCAAGGCCCCGCCCCACACAGCCCCACCCCAAGGCCCCACCCCACTCAACCCCACCCACCCGGTGCCCCCTCCCAGGTCCCACTACACCTAGCCCCGCCCTCCCAGCCCCACCCATGCAACTCCATTAGCCCCACCCCCCAAGGCCCTACCCACGCTACTCCATTTCCCCAGCCCTGCCCCCCACCCCACGTGGCCCCACTCCCTCAAGCCCCACCTGAGTCTGCCCATCAAGGGCCAGTACCCTGTCTGGCCTGCCTTACTGGCTCTGCCCATCGAGGCTCCGCCCACGGATCCTCCTGACCTGCCTCAGTTCTTCTTGGCCCCTCTCTGATGGCTCTGACTCCACCCTTTAAGGCCTGCCCACTTGACCCTGCCCACCATGACCCTGCCCACCATGACCCTGCCCACCATGACCCTGCCCGCCCGCCAAGGCCACGCCCACCTGACTCCCAGAAAGTCCCTTCCCCCCCCACCCCCCCAACCCGTCCCCACCCCAGGGCTTTTGTTAGCTCTGGTTCCTTGGTGTCTGTTCATCCCTAGCCTTACCTCTGTGTGCTGTGAGCCCCCTCCATCCTTTTTTGGGTAGGGGGTTGATGTGGGTTAGTTTCCCCCACCCAGTAGTGTAGGTGCTCAGGGCTTCCTCTGGCTCCGCACTCAAGGATCAGGGTGGAGCCTGGGTTGGTGGCATGCAAGGCGAGCCTTCCCACCCACTGCACCGTGGCTGTGGTCTCAGGTGGGGTCCTTGAGTTTGTCATCTCAGTTTCCTTCCCTTCCCTTCAGTTGTTGCTGCAGTGAGTAGGGTGGTTATTCTTGGGTGCAGTGCTCAAACCCCTGTTTGCAGTGCTGAGGGGTGGGGATGGGGGACCTCTTACTTGTTTGGGGTACTCGTGTTCACAAAGGCAGTGCCACGTGGATCACACCCTCCTGCGCTCCTGTGCTGTTGATTCCCGTTTCCCCGTTCCTCAGTGCAGGCTGGGCTGAGCTGGGTTCCCCCAGTGAGGATTGCTGAATCAGACCACGGGCTGGGGACTCTGAGGGGTAGTTCAGTAGTGATTAACATCAGCTGGGCTTAGCCTCAAGAACATTTGACCCTTAGGGTCACCTTGGATCTTGTGGGGACAGAAGGTATCAATGGGAAATAGCACGTGGCTGACCTGGGTTCTATCCTTGGTACCACCTAGGGTCTCCAGTACCCTCCAGAAGTGAATCCTGAGCACTGCCAGGGTGACTTCAGATCCTCTCCACAAATCAGAAGTGAGGTGCCTCAGGGACCTTTTGCAGACAGGGACTGGCCAGAGAGGCTGGACACAAAGACAGAGTGCAGTGGGCTCCTGGCATTCACATTTCTTCCTCTCCCTCCCACCCCCATCTCTTGCCCTCCCCTCCCCCCCACAGGTCCTTCGGTGTGGTCCTTTGGGAGATAGCTACACTGGCCGAGCAACCGTACCAGGGTCTGTCCAACGAGCAGGTGCTGCGTTTTGTCATGGAAGGTGGCCTCCTGGACAAGCCGGATAACTGCCCCGACATGCTGTAAGTCTAATGGCCCTACCACGCATGCTGGCCCTGTTTCTACCCCTCTTGAAAAGTTGCTCCCAATACCAGTGTCCTGGGAGTCCCAGGGGTGCAGGGCCATGTGGCCAGGAGCGAGCAGGTTAGGAAGGAACTGGTCTCAGGACAGTGTCTGAATCACACCCTGGTGCCCCTGAACTTTTGCCTTTTGCACCCATGGTTTGCTATGAGCTATCTCAGGTCAGATATCTTGGCGGTTGCAACAGACTCGTCAGCTGGGCACCCTGCACAGTCCTCTCCCCCCTCCCCCAACACACACACCTATTATATAAGGCATCAGAAAGCTTGGAGGCAAAGGCTTTGCATATAGAAGCCCTGGGTTCCATCAGTCCTCCAGGCACTGCCAGGAGCAAACCCTGAGACCAAAATAAGGCAGCAGGGGACTGGAGCAGAAGGGCTTTTGCCTCACATGCAGTCAGCTTGGATTTGATCCCCAGCATCCCATATGGTCTCCTGAGCATTGCCAGGTGTGGTGCCAAAACAAAAAAATAAAACCAAATAAATGCAGCATCTGGCTGGGGAAGCTGACCCAGCCTTTGCAGACTTCGTGGAACAGAGCCCCAGGTTCAATCCATGGCACCATGTGGTTCCTTGAGCACAATGGGCAATGGCCCCGGAGCACTTTGCTAGAAGTCCAACCCTGCAACAGAAATGGGACCATCCCAGCACTGCTGGTTCACAAGCGGAGTCATAGAGCCTCTGCCCACCATTGGCAGGCCCAGGAGAACCTGGATCAAGCCTGTACAAGTCAGGTACGGGTTCCTGTTAACGTGGAAGTGGAGTTTCCCATGCTGGTGGGTTCTGGAGAATCATACTGAAGACTTGCATACAAAATTCAAAAGATTTGGGGCCAGAGTGATAGCAGAGAGGGCGTTTACCTTGCACGCGGCCAACCCCAGTTTGATCTCCGGCATCCCATATCGTTTGCTGAGCACCATCAGGAAGTGCAGAGCCAGGAGTGGCCCAAAAACCAAGGGAAGAAAAACAACCTTGGGAGAGTCAAGGTTTGAGTTTCCTGTACAGTTAAAATAGATGGATCCGGGTCTTTCCCAGGCGTCCAGGCCTCTCCTTTACCTGTGAATGATGTCATTCTTCCTATCCCAGTGATACCTTATGCCCATGTTCGACCTCCCAGATCCATTCCATGGGGGTCCACTCGCCTCCAGTGTATGATGACCAGGCCCCGGCCCTGCGTCTCTGTCCCACATATGCATTCCTGGTTTAAGTTGTGTCCCTGGGCTTTTCCTGGGGACTGTACCCCAGCAATTCCCTGGTGGTTTGTCCTGGTCTTTCCCAGTCTCCAGCCCACTGCATGTGGGTGAGACCCTGTGCTCTGTACATGTCAGTGGGCCTCCCTGCTGGCCCCAGCAGTTCCTGTCACCTTGTCCCAGCTTTCCTTGATCTCCAGCCATGGCCACAAGTGCATGAGTCAGACTCCTTTGCTCAGTATTCCTGCCCGGGTGTCTGAGCCTGGCCCTCGTTCTGCCCCTGACTGAGCCTACAAGGCCAGCCTGTTCATGGCCATCTGTCCGGACATGAGTCTGGCCATCTACCTGATCCTGCTATCTCTCTGGGTGTAAGTGAAGAGAGAGTAGGGGGCTATCTGCGGGCTTCCTTTTTTTTTTTTTTTCTTTTTTTGAGCTATACCAGACAATGCTCAGGGGTAACTTCAGGTTCTGCACTCGGGAACTCCTCCTGGCAGTGCTCAGGCGACCATATAGGATGTGGGACATTGAATACCTGAATGCCTTCCCCACTGTGCTATTCTCTGCCCACCCCCTGTTGGTGAATCCAGTGCCATTGATTGAAAACGTTCCCTGGACTGTTGTCAGCCCCTTTGCTGAGAAAACATCCTTGTGGTCTGGGGCCCTGACCGTGTGCAGAGGCTCCGGCCTGTTCAGGACCTGCTGGGAATGCAGGTGTGCTGTATGTTCCCACGGCTTAGAGGCCAGGGAGGAAGGGGGAGCATTGTTTGGGGGACTTTCTCTCTTGGGGAAAAGCTCGTTTCTGAGAACCACGTGGGGTCTTTAAAGCTGATCCCCCACCTTCCCAGGGGCCTGGCTTTTTTTTTTTTTTTCCCCTGAAAGCGGCCTGCCTGGGAGGTATCCCTTCCCGTTTCCCACCTGCCTGGGGAAAGGCATCCTGGTTCCTGTTCCCAGCCTAGAGTGACAAGGAAAGTTTGCAGGTGGCACCCTCACACCCCACTGAGGAATGTGGAATCCAGGAGGCCTTCCTGCTCTGCTGGGTGGGGGTCGGAATCCAGGGGAAACCCCGGCCCCACCCCCCTCCACTGCAGAGACACAAAGGAGAGAGGCTGGAGGGTTTCCTGGGCTGGTGCTAAGAAATGTGAGCTGCTGGGGCTCTGTGGAGGGAGGAAGCCACTTGCTCTCTGCACCCAGATAGGTACCAGAGTGGGGGCCAGTGGTTGTGGATGACGCCCCAGAGACAGACAACAACACACCCCCCATCCCGGGTGCACAGTGCTTAGACTCAAGTGTAGCCCGAGTTCAAGGCCCCAGGCAATGCCCCAGGGGTCCCAGCACCCCGACTCTGGTGTTCTTGAAGTTACAACCTGTACCCCAGGATCAGACAGCAGAGGGGGGCTCCACCAGGTGCTACTGAAGAACTTTCTGGAGTCTTGTCTCTTGCCAATAGAGAGAGGGGTCCTGTGTGTATGCAGAGTGGAGGGGGTGCCATGTGCTTCCTCCTCAACCCCCGTGGCTCAGCCTGCCACTTTTCCAGGTCAAGAGCAGTGTGCACCCTCCCCCCCACACACATACCAGTTGTAAAAAAATGCACTTAAATATTTTTTAAATTTATTTTTAATGTGCTTTTTAAATTAAAAAAATTAAAAACTTAAATTTTTGGGGTTTTGGCCATATCCAACGATGCTCAAAGTTGGTTCCTGGCTCTGTGCTCAGAAATTACTCCTGGTGGGGCTCAGGGAACCCTATGAGATGCCAGGGATTGAACCCTTTCATCAGCATGCAAGGCAAGCGTTCTCCCTGCTGTGTTATGTTCTGGCCCCTAATGCATTTTTTTAAAGGAGGAATTTTGTCCAGCTCATAAGTCCTGGTGGCAGCCATTGGGATGTACCCTGGCTGGGAGGCGGCAGGGGGATATAAGCAAGACCCCCCAAATCTGCAGAGGACATCTGGCTGTCATTCATGGGCCACCCTAGAAAGGTTCCGTGGTGCTGTCCAGTGGGCATGCCTGTGTCATGTGTCTGGCCACCTCCACCCTGGGGTGTCATATGCTCCTCCCCTGCCCCCTTAGCCACCAGGGGGCACCCACAGCTCTGCCCAGTGGGTGACTGTATCACCCAGTCTCCCCTTGTTTTATTTATTGGCTTTCTACCTCCAGGGGGTTGTTTTGAAAGCAGTTAGCGTGTATAGGGGTGGCACCCCTCTTTCTCCCACTCCTGCTGCTACCCACAGGAGCGCCCAGAGACAGTGGGAGGGGGGACATTGTGTGTCTGTTTTAAGGGAGCGGGTGGTAACTGGCATTCAAAATGCCACCAGTTTCTTTCCCAGCTGTTACGGGGCCTCAGGCATCCTGGGCAGGGCCCAGACCCTGGCTATACCCTGTCGTGTCAGATACCTTCATTCTGATTTTTTTGGCTGTCCCTTTGTTTTTGTTTGTTTGTTTTGCTTTTTTTTCTCGGGGGGGGGGGGTGTCATACCTGGCAATGCACAGGGTTTACTCCTGGCTCTGCACTCAGGAATTACTCCTGGCAGTGCTCAGGGGACCATATGGGATGCTGGGAATCAAACCCGGGTCAGCTGTGTGCAAGACAACCGCCCTACCCGCTGTGCTATCTCCCCAGCTCCCCCCCCCCCCCATCCCTTTGTTTTTGTCTGGGGCCACATTCCAGTGACTTGACCTGAGCTGAGGGCAGGGGGGCAGCCACCAATGGGCCGTGAACACACAGGGCAACTCTCTCCTAAGAGACTGGATTTGTGAAAACAGGGTCTGAGCATGGCTTGGGGCTCTGCGCTCAGGGATAACTCCTGGAGGTGCTCCTTGGGGACCACCTGGGATGCTGGGGATTGAACCTGCCTGCCACTGTGCTATCAGCCCCACCTCATCTTTGCCTTACAGAGGCAGGGAATAGACACCCCTGCCCGCCCCCCACCCCCGCAAAACAGAAGGGTTTCAGGTGCATATAGAAAGCGCTGGGAGTGGGGAGCGTGGATCCCTCCGGATGGGCGCCAGATCCCCCCTCACTCTGCTCCTCCAGAGCCCCTCTCTGCATTTGGGTTTCATGAGAAGCACCCCCTGGCGCTGGGAGGGAGCTCAAAGTGCAAGGGGGTCCTCACCAGCCCGTGTCCCTCCCCCCTCCCCCTCCCCCCCTAGGTTCGAGCTCATGCGCATCTGCTGGCAGTACAACCCCAAGATGCGGCCTTCCTTCCTGGAGATCATCTGCAGCATCAAGGACGAGCTGGAGCCCGGCTTCCGCGAGGTCTCCTTCTACTACAGCGACGACAACAAGCCGCCCGAGGCCGAGGAGCTGGAGCTGGAGCTGGAGCCCGAGAACATGGAGAACGTGCCGCTGGATCCCGACGCCGCCGCCGGCGCTGCCGCCCCTGCCGCCGCCGCCGCCGCCTCTGCCTCCGCCGCCGCCGCCGCCCCAGTGGTCCTGGCCGCCGCCTCGGGCGCCACCGGCTCGACCCTGTCGCTGCCGCTGCCCGAGCGCCCGTCGGCCGCTGCCGCGCTCTTGGAGAACGGCCCGGGCCCCAGCGTGCTGCTGCTGCGCGCCAGCTTCGACGAGCGCCAGCCCTACGCGCACATGAACGGCGGCCGTGGCCGCAACGAGCGCCCGCTGCCGCTGCCCCAGTCCTCCACCTGCTGAGCCCCCCACCGGCCTCCTGTACCTCAGTGGCGCCGCCCAGCCACGGGAGATGAGCTCCCCGCGTCGGGTGGCGCCTGGGCCGGGGAGGGGTTCCTTTTCTCGATATGCAGCTTTTTTTATTTCCTACCCAAACCCTTAACTGACACGGGCCTTCACAACCTTAATGACTAACAATAGCAACAGAACACTCGCGAATCCAGTGTCTCTCTCTCTCTCTCTCTCTCTCTCTCTCTCTCTCTCTCTCTCTCTCTCTCTCTCTCTCTCTCTCTCTCTCCTCTCTCTCTCCTCTCTCTCTTTCCTCTCTCTTCTCTCCCCCTCCCGCCCACTCTCTCTCTCTCTCTCTGCTTCAGAACTGAGAAGCCCTTGGCGCCAGCCCCAGCAGGGACCCCTTCTGATCAGATCAAGGATGTGGCTGCCCCTTGAGCCCCTGGGACCCTGCCCCCCCCACACACACTGCCCCCTGAACAGCCCTCCTTGTCTTTACTGTCTTTATGAGACCCTCATGGGGCAAGAACTTCCCTCCCTCCCCCCATCGCTGTCCTCTCCAGGGAGGGTCCCTGCTCCCCTGATTCTACCTGAATTTCTGCTCAGGCTCTGCCCGTGCCTGGCCCATTTATAGGCACCTGGGCAGGGTGGCAGGGAAAGGGGTCCGGGAGAGGGACACTTGGTATCTGGGCATCCCCGCTTGGATCCCCATGGCCCCCCTCCAGGCGGCTGCTTGTCCTGGAGCTCTCCAGAAGTTTGGAATGAAGCTCCTGTCGGCAGGGGGGTTATGGGCCAAATACACCCTTCTCTCAGCAGGGGTGGGCACTACCCACTTCAGCCTTTCTCACCACGCCCCCCCCTCAAATTGGGGACACACAGCCCTCCCACCCCTTGTGGAAAACCGGGAAAACTTGCTGGAAGGAAAGGGGCCAGGACCCAGTGGAAAAGGGTCGCAGAGACACCCTGGCCCATGTAGGTTTGCCGGGAAAGGAATCCACCCCCTCTGTGCAGTGAGGAGAAACAGGAAGCACCCCAGCTTCCTCCCCCCAACCCCTTTGGCATTTTCTCTCTCCCCCACCCCTTGAACTCTGTCACGGGTCTCTCAGTTCTATGTTGGACCCAGAGACTCGGGCGTCTACAATGTCTTCAGCCTCACTTTGATAACTTTTTTACGGTTCAGATACTCATCTATACATCTGTACAGAAAAAGAAAAAAAAAAGCTATTTTTTTGGGGGGGTTCTTTATCTTTGTGGATTCTCTCTATGAAAACTTTCAGGTCTGTCGCTCCTTTTCTGCTCGCTCCAAGAAACTTCTCAATGCCGCTCCTCCCCGCCCCCTCCCAGCCAGCTGGACTTCTCGAACCCTGTTTGCCTTTTTTTTTTTTTTTTTATAAATCTTTCCCCACTTCCTCACCACCTCCCCCAGGGCTGTGTGGATAAGAGAGCTGGGCCCGGCACCCCTCTCTTCTTGGCCCGTTCTCACCTGGCTTCAGGTCAGTTAAAGGAGGACACATGGTTGAAACTCAGGTCAGAAAACAACATAAAATTCCACGACCCTTGTCCGAGGCTTCTGGTCCCCCCGGCCGGAAGTGGGACCCCATTGTTTTCCAGCCTCTGTTAGGGGTATAAGACCTGAAACAGGACAGATCAATGTTTTTCATCCTGGGGTACCACTGCAGCTTGATCTGCAATGGGAACAGTTGGTGGGTGCTAGTTTTAGGGTTCGCCTTGTTGGTTTTACCTGCCCCCTCCCTGAAAAGCAGCCGGAGTCCAAAGCCTGGGGGACTGGGGTGGGGCTGGGGGTGCTATTCTTCCGTGGCCATGCTCCCACCCCCTCCCCAACTGGCTCCTTGGTCCAGGGTGTGCCCCCCAATCCCTGGGGCTTTGGAGGTGCAGTCCTGCCACTTGGGCCGCAGTGATGGCAGATGCAGACCATGGGGTTGGGGTGCAAGTTACAGCTCATGCGTCTTCTCCCCAGAGGTGGGAGTTCTCCTCAGAACTTTGAACACCGCCTCCCCCACCAGTTTCCTCTAGCCTTTGTCCCGTAGAGGGGGGAAATATTCTCTAATGTGTGAAAAAAAAAGATAAATGAATCCAGAAGGGAAAGGGATTTTCTTTTGTGATCCCTCTTCCGAAGCCCCTGTCGGGAATTTAGATGCTGAGAAAAAGGGCGTCAGCGTGGGGCGGCGGCCCCGCCAGCTCTCGCTTTTGCTTTTCAGACATTTATCTACCTCGCTCTTGTTATTATTATTTTTTAAATGTGTTTCTCCATCTCAATGTGGCCCAGCTCCGACAATAGACCGTTGATAACCGGGCACCTCATGGGCACCCCAGGCCGGCCACCTCGTCCTCCTGCTTCCCACGTCCACCTGCCCGCTGTTTCTGGACTGTCTCTGAGCTGTCTCTGTCTCCTGTCTTCTCACTGGCTTTCAAGAGGTGTCAGAACTCAGGCGCCCCTCCTGGCCTGGCCCAGGCCCCCCCACCCCACCTTCCCGCTTCCGCAGAGCCAGGAGAGGGAGTCGGGGAATCCCAGCTCTGGGGGGCAGTCGCGATGCCAAACTTTCTCTACTGGGGGACCGGCTGGGGGAGGGACCAGGGGGCCATTAAAGTGCTCCTGCAGGGGGTCCCTCTGGTCAGTTCACCCTGCTCAGCACCAGACATGCTGGGGTGGCCGAGTGGAGTCGTGACCCACACCAGGCCAGCCCCAGCACCCTACAGGCTGGAGGGCTGATGGCAGGACCCAAGCCCCCCACCCATCCCCCTGCTGCTACCGTTCACGGGGAGGGAAGCGCCTTTGACAGGTCTGGGCCACTGGGCATGAGGTTTTCTCCAAAGCGAGGGTGAGGTGGGGGCTCCTCTACCCTCCTCGTCCCTCAGATCCACTCCCTCTGGGCCTGTGATGCCCCCATCCCCCAGAGCAGCGAGTCTCTCGCGTGCACCCCCTTCACCCCCCCAATTTCCATAACTGGATTTCTACAGCGCATTTAGCCGATCCCCAGGGTTCATGAGACTCGTCCTTCGAGGGTCGGGTATCGGTTTATGCGTGTCCTGAGCCGGTGATGTTCCTTGCAGTAGAAAGGAATCACCTGGCAGGCGTCGTGCCCCTGGGAACAGACGCTTTGGGAACCCTAAGGCAGAAATGTGTGCGCACCCGATCAGGCTTTGGTGCGGGGCGGGCCTGAACCCCGCCATGGCCACGCAGTGTGGCTTGGCCCAAGTGTGCTGGTGCTGCCTCTCCTGTGCTGGCCCTGCTCACCTCAGTCTCCTCCAAAGAGGGGCTGGAGCTGAGTTGTCTGCCTGGTCCAGCCCAGCGGGATGGGGAGTGGGTGCAGACACAGTTGCCACCCAGCGGCTCTGCCCTTTTACCCCCCCGCATGCTGCGTGCTGCCAGTGGGGTTCAGCCTCTATGGTGAGAGCAAGACCTGGCCCGGGTCTTGTCCAGGCAATGCCAAAACGTGAGACGTAGTCGGTGGGCGCGGGGCAACCCACAACTGTGGGGTCTCCCCTTCCCACCCCACCTGGTGACTTAAATGACACTTGTGGAGTGGAAGTGGCTTAGAAACCGGGGAGCGGGGGCCAGAGGTGATTTTGGCTCTGGTGGTCCAACGCTGGGCACTAACTGGTGTGCTGATGCAGACAGCGGATGGCCATATTCAGGGCTGGGAGCCAGGGGCTGGGTCCGGGTTCCCCAACCAAACCTCTCTCTCGCTAGTGCATCTCCGGGGACAGGTGGCTGAAGGTGTCGCTGGGCACAGTGATGATTCCCAAAGTGCCAACGGGTGCCAAGCCCAGGGCACTGGGTCCAGTGGGTCCCGCCAGCATGGAAGAAGACTCCCCGATGCAGGCGTGTGTCCCCCCCCCCCCCGCCCCGCAACCACCATTGACAGCCACGTTCCACACCTGCCTCAGCCGGGCCCCCAAACGTGCTCAAACTTGGGGGATAGACTTGGCGTCCATGATGCATTTCTGAGTCGGCCGTGTTCTCGTGTCCTGGGCTCAGTGGCAAGAGCAAGCTGGAAACTCCAGTTTTCAGGACCAGTGAGGAAAACCCCACTGCCTTAAGCCCCTCGGAAGGAGTCGGGGTGCGGACGAGAACTTGGAGAGCGGCTGTTTCTGGGAGGTGGCTCAGATGCGAGCGATGCTGAAGATTCCAGCCTGGGCAGCCCAGAGGGTTTCCAGCGGGGCGTCCAGCATATGGGACTGGTGGAGGAGGAAAAGCAGATCAAGGTTCCTCTGGAAGTCACCATCGGCGTCTTCGTCGTGAAGGGGACGGGGTTGACAGCGGCGTGGCTGCCTCTTGCATGCAACGGTTTGACAGGCTCAGGCCAGCATCCAGGCTCCGCCTCTGTCCATGGCTGTTTGGTTCCAGCCAACAAACCCAACCTCCACCTTTGAAAACGCGCCTCAGTAGCACGGAGGCCGACCGTCCACCCATCCGACATGGGGGTGCTGGGGCGGGTTTATTTTGGTTTTGTTTTTTATTGCTTGGTTTGGTTTTTTGTTTGTTTGGGTTTTTTTTTTGTTTTTGTTCTTTTTTTTACTATGATGCGAGAACATAATGCTGACCCATCTGTGCGTCCACGTTAGTCCGTCCACATCCTCCCGGCAAACATCCGTTCCTCAAACATCCATTACTCACTCATTAGCATTTTCACTAGGGCTCTGTCCAGTAGATTACGGGTAGTCAGTTGACGAAGATCTGGTTTACAAGAACTAATTCAATGTTCCATCGCATTTTTTTCTTCTTTTTTTTTTTTGTAAGAACTTAGGGTAATTTTTTAAGTCATCTATAGTAGGTAATCGCCGAACATAATTTAAAGACACTTTTTTTTTCCTCTCTGCGTGTGCAAGTGTGTGTTTGTGATCCATATATAAATATATATTATTTTTTTTAGGATGCCTGTTTACTAGCTAGCTTTACAGTATGCCAAAAAATAATAATAAAGGATTTTTCCCTTCACCTCCATCCCACCCTCTCCCTTCACCTCACCCCACCATCTCTGCCACTACTTGTGCGTGTACTAAAGGACTGAGGATGAATTAAGA